ATATGCTTAGAACTTGCACTAAGTACTTTGCACATTTGAAATTCTTTAATGTGATCCTCTTAAACTTAATTCACAAATGTGAAATAAAGAAGCTAAGCAGCTGGTTTTGCTTGTTTGTTTTAAATACAAAGCCAACACTTCTCTTACAAAAACAAAACAAAACAAAACAAAACAAAAATCACACACAAAATCATACCGAAGACCTACCAAGTGCACCTATAAGATCTGCAGTCTTCTGGTTGGTGTAAACATAACACCCCATGTTTATGATCTACTTACTTAATTCCTCTAAAGGTCTTTGCTTTTAGGATATTTTTAAAAATCAAGTTTTATAAGAATAATTTTTATTGATTTTGGTCATTTTAAAAGTCATTTTTAACAATTGAACACAAGGAACATACAATTGAATTTGTGAATAAAATCAAATTTCTTGACTTTGTTTTCCAGAGACAAAATTATCTAGTATATTTATTTAATCTTTGAAGTCACAGAACCAAAATGCAGCTGATAAATCTCGGACAAAAATATGATAGAAGTTAGAAAAAATCCATGGTTCATAAACTGCTCTGCCATTTTAATTTCTTCTATTGAGGTGAAGTATCTCATTCTCCATTCAGAATATACACTAGCATCATCCCCCACCATTCACTACCAACTGATCATAATGGAAAAATTTAATTTCTCAAAGTCTCAGTTTCTTCATTTATAAAATGGGTGTAATGATACATGCTCATAGTGATGTTTTAGGAATTTAATAAGATAATACATATACCTGGTATAGTAAGCACTCAATAAATTGTTCTTTGTTGTTGTCTTAACTATATGAAAAAGACTCCAAAACTCTTAGAAGGAAGAAAGCATGTTTGGTTTATACACATATTTAATCCCTGGGGTCCAGTTCATTGGTTTAATCTATTGGAAGTACCCAGTGAATATATGTTAAACTTACTTGAACCCACTGGATTGAATCTGATGTTCTTTCTTACGAAGTAAACGACTTATTATAAAAGAACCATGATTTCCTTGATATGGACAAGTAGAATAGAAACCTGCTTTCTTTCCAAGCCCAAGTTGAAACAAGTGGCAATGTGCTACACCCTCCTGGTGGCATCTACAAACTCCTCAGAGTTCTGACAAGGTCATGGCTCCCTAGACCCCTTCTCCGAAGTAAGCCTGGCTAGGTGTTCCTGAGGTCACTCAGTCCCCCTTCCTCAACCACGGCTGACCCTGCACTAGCAACCAGCTCTCCAGAAATGTCTCTGAGGTGTGGAGAAGACGAATCTGCAACAGCCATGTCCTTGACTTTCCTGGTGAAGAGCTACTTGGAACATTTGTAAAGTGTTCTAATCTCTGAAGCTGGGAAGGAGGTCTCTAATCCACGTCTCTAAGAGGTGAGAGCTAGGACAGTCAGCTGGGTCCCCAGAGAAAGCTGTGAAAGGGAGAATCCCAGGTACGGTCCCCAGACTAACCCTCTGCAGTGGGATCTACTGTGCAGGGACAGGTGGGGCAGGACGACGTAGGGGTGCAGAGGTACCCACTCTCCTCGAGAAGCTACTTCTCCTTCGGCTACCTAGTTTTTTTCAAATACAGGTATTTGCATAAAGTCATCCTTTTTTGCCTTCCAGATAAACTGACAACCCGAAATTTAACCAGAATTAGGACTGCTTCCTAAGCTTCTATTCCTTTTGGTAACTGTGAACAGTTAAAAAAAAAAAAAAAAAAAAAAAAAAGCTGTGACTGTGCTATTTGCCTCCCAGCAAAACCCGGTTGACAAAGAGATTATGAAAGCAGAACCAGGAATCATGAGTTCTTTCTTCCTTTATCCTCAAGGATCCCTCAGTAGTGCCAGCTGTCGAGAGGACGAAGTTACTGTGGGGCATCCCAACAACAAGGAGGTCAAAGAAGTGCAGAAGTCTCTCGTGGTTGGGTAAGCAATGAAATTAAGGCATCTGAGTGGAGAAATGTAAAACACCCTTATAGAGACCAAATAGCTCCCAGGTCCCTGAGACTAGGCTGGAAACTGATTAAATGCATTAGCATATCAAAAGGGAAAAATGCCTCAGTATCCAGGGGCAGCTGAGCAGCCAAAAAGGTCTAGAAAAATGAGATTTTAAAGACAGAGATGCCCATCTACGCATTCTAGGGGACACTTTGTCTAAAGGGAGATAAAATGTTATTTTACCAATTTAATTTCAGGCATGACAATGCTAGTGGAGATATCTAGCTTTCTAAGAGCTGCACTAGAGCCAGTAGGTGGCATGGTGGCTAAGGTGCTAGACTCCCACATGGAAGACCACAGTTTGAGTCCCAGACCTGGTGGCATACATTCTGGTGAGTGGATGTGTCCAATAACAAATTAAAATAATAATAACAATAATAACTAATGAATTAAGTTCACTAAATAAACAATTCTTAAAAAAAAAGAGGTATACTAATCAATTTAAAAAAGAAGTATTGGGCAATGGAACGCTGGTGTGACAAGTAACTGAAATCCTCTTGCCTTCTATAAACTTGCTTAGACCCACACTCCCCACCAGCCCTCCAGTAAAAGCTGGATTCTCACAAGCCAGGGCCTCAAGGAGTAAGGTATGGCCATGGCCGGAAGACCAAGGCCCAAGTGCCTCCCAAGCTCTGTGTAACTTAATGAAATAGCACCCTGGTTTTCCACATAAATCCTATGACCTGGGTTAATAGAATTGTATCCTAGGAGACAGAAGTAGGCTCAGTACATTGACAGTTGTGCTCAGAGGTTGAACCCCGTAGAGGCACCGAGACAGTGTCACCTGAGGCCTCTGGGAGATGGTCTCATTGCTGCCTTCCCGTAAAATTGTCTCATCAGCCTAGGCCACTGAGCTCGGCTCATGATTATTCTCTAAGATGTTTGATTATAAACATGTAACCTTTCTTATTCAGCATCTTTATTAATCAAAGACGTGCAAATTAAGAAAATATTAGCAAAGAGAAAATTGCTTACAGGGTATAAGCAAGGAGGCATTCCCATTTACTGCTGGTGGGAACAGTATAAATTGGAAACACATCCAAAGTCTGGGAACCAGCAGTTAGCGTAATGGCTATGTCGCTGGACTCCCATGTAGTCGACCACGGTTCGTGTCCTGGACCCAGTGGCTTAAAACTCACGCCAGGCGCGTGTGCGTGCGTGCCCAAGATCCCGAGAGGAGAATGGAGGAGAAGGGATTGCGGTGTGACCATCCCCCCTGGGGGGTGATTTCTCGCTTTCTGTTTCTATGTCTCTCTCCGGCGAGCGCACGCGCCCTATAGCGAAAATCTCTCAAAAAAAAAGGTCTTAGAAATAAGTATACCTCTGACCAGCAATTCTACTTCTAGTCATTTATCCGTACTTAATTAAAGACATGGACAATTAATTAACCACAATAATGTCTTTTAGAGAAACTTACAAACGGCAAAACTTGGAAATCATATAAACATTGAAGAGTTGAGATTGGTTAAATACACATGTATAATGCAATAATATATTCATAATATGTTACAGAAATATGTTTGCTGACCAGGAAAGTCATTCACAGTGTGTTTTTATTTTTCCTTTTTGTCTTACATGTTCTAATATTTTTTTCTATGAATGTTTATAATCATCTGTAGCCCTGATGCTATATCAAAGTTGGGGAGTGTTCCCCATCTGCATAAAGAATAGAATCTGTGGGAACCAGCAGTTAGCGTAATGGCTATGTCGCTGGACTCCCACGTAGTCGACCGGGGTTCGTGTCCTGGACCCGGTGGCTTAAAACTCACGCCGGGCGCATGTGCGTGCGTGCCCAAGATCCCAAGAGGAGAATGGAGGAGAAGGGATTGTGGCGTGACCATCCCCCCTGGGGGGTGATTTCTCGCTTTCTGTCTCTATGTCTCTCTCTGTCTGTCTGGCGAGTGCACGCGCCCTACAGTGAAAATCTCTCAAAAAAAAAAAAAAAAAAGAAAGAAAGAATAGAATCTGTGTTGAAAGAAAAATGAGACATGTTCTTAGGCTCAGATCTGCCCAGTCGTTCCTCCAAATTTCAGCAGAACCTCCACTATTCCACATCTATACTATTCAACATCTCTATACTAGTCTATACTATTCAACATCCATGTATCAATTCAGACAGCAGAGTCTCACCTTAAAGAGCAGAGTCTCAACTAAGAAAGTATCCCTCTGCCTGAGTATTGAGTCAAAGTACTAGAATAAAATAGTTTTCAATGATCTCTTCTAAGGGACCTACACCCATAGTAAGAAATCTCAACAGCAAACTGCATGAAGCCTGCTATTCTAGTCCTCAATTGATCATTACACACTGTATGCATGCTTCATACCTCATAAAGATGTACAGTAATGTGTAAATCAGAAATTATAAAATAAAATGAAAAAGAAAGAAAGAAAAAGAAATGACATTCTAGTATTTTCGGACATGTATCATAAAATACAAACTTCTCTCAAGACATCTCAGAACAAATTGGTGAGATAAAGAGGGAAAAGGAGAGAGAAAATGACAATGAAAAAGAAGTTCAACTTAGTAACCTAGGCTTATTGTCATTTCTTAATACAAAAAAATCCCTTACATTTAATAAGCCTGATAATTCTACCCACCAGCAAAGGACATTCTGGCCTCTAGGAAGTTCCCTCAGGTCAGATGCAGGCAAACAAAGGCTCTGTTCCCTTCTGTGACCTAAGGGTGATGATGACTCTGGACCAATTTCCAATGAGACTTTTATTGAAGAATTGCAATTAATATAGCCACATGTGGCCTTGCAACCTTTTTCTGGAAGAGCTGTTTCCTCCTCAAACAACATCCATTTAGAGATTTTGTGATAGCACAGGGGAACAGAGTTAATGCTTCCCTCATTACACGGCCAAGAAAGGAACAACCAAGAGGGAAGGAAAATGCTCCAAGGTGTCCCATCTCCCCGGGCCTCCGTCGTGGTTGCCATTAACAGAAGAATCCGACTCTGAGAAAAACAAGCAAGCCTCGAAGAGATAAAGTCTTACTTACGGACACACATTTCCCTGCTTTCATAAAATCCAGGGCAACACTGGGATTTGCGTCTGTACATAGTTTTCTCTCCATGCCGATAAGCTGTCCGGTAACTAATTCTACAGAAAGCAGGACAATCACATTGTTAGTTCTTTTGACTGACAATTAGAAATAATTTCTACTTGAATAAAAAGGCCTATTAAATACACTAACCACATAAAAAGTAAAGTACTTCCATATAATTTAGAACATGGAATGTATGTCTTGACCGATAGTATCCTTACCAGTTTGGTAAGAACGGTTCAGATATTCCATGACTTCTCTACTTCATTTATCCTGATATATCTTTAAAAATATTGAAAAATTTTATATGAAGTCTTCCAGAAGTTCATGGAAGGCCAAGCCCATAGTGGGATAAGGGGGCTAAATCTCACATGGCCAATCATAGTTTGAATCCTAGCCCAGCAGCTTGACAAACATGCCATGCACAAGTGCTTGTGTATCCTAAGTCCTTACTGGATGCGGAAATGGAGGAGGAGGGATGGCGGCATGACCAAGCCCCACTGGGGGGTATGTTTTCTCCCCTTTTCTCTGTCTCTCTCTCTCTGTCTCTTTGTTTTTCTCTGGTGAATGCATGCACACTCTGGCTATTAAAGAAAGACATTCATGGAAAATGTGTATTATGTAAAAACTGCACTGATTTCAAAATTTTGCACTAAAATACATTCTTACTTTAATTCCACATCAGTGAACTTTGTGAAGTTTTCTCAAATATGATACCCATTAAGCAGCATTCACTTACATGTGTTTTAAAGGAGGAATCTGGAGAATCCTTTTCAAAATCAATTTCATCTTACTATAAAACAAAAGACTAATAAAAGGTTTTTCCATTTAACTAAAGCAACATTCATTCACTGGTTCACTGAATTATCAAGTTTATTGAGCACTCACAATATTCCAGCAAAACAATATAAAACTAGGGACCAGCAGGTGGCATAGTAGTTAAGGCACTAGACTCCCACATGGTTGATCATGGTGCAAGTCCTGGACCCAGCAGCCTGAAACTTGTACTGGGTGTGTATGCGTGTGTGCCCAAAATCACAAGAGGAGCATGGACGAGAAGGGACTTTGATCGGGCCATCCCCTCTTAGGGGGAGTCATTTCTCATTTTCTGTCTCTCTCTCTCTCTCTCTGGCAAGCACATACATCCATATATCTTATAGCAAAAATCTCTCCAATACTCTTATATATATACATATATATATTTTTTTATATATATGTGTGTGTGTGTATATATATATATATATATATATATGTGTGTGTGTGTGTGTGTGTGTGTGTGTGTGTGTGTGTATAAATCCTAGTTCTCAAATGACATATTTTACTGGAGAAGACAGATCTGGTAGAATTTGTTTAAATAAAGATACACATTAAACAAATAATCATATCATATAATGTCTGTGAATGAGTAAATGCTGTGAAGAAAAATAAAGCCTGAGTGAGGGAACAGAAAGTGAAGGAAGGCGATGCTCGTTTGGATGGCGTAGCCAAGGACAGCGTGTGTGAAGACACCGAGCATGTCATTTAGTGCAGTACAAATCAGCAGGTGCACGCTCAACCTGTAACTTGTACCTCTCTGGACTATACATATTTCACTCATACAATTATGGCATCAGGGTTCTCTTCTATATTAATATCTCATTATATTTAATAATGTTTAGATTTGTGTGTGTGTGTGTGTGTGTGTGTGTGTGTGTGTGTTAACATTCATTTAAAAAATGGCATGTTTTACTTAAGAGTCAAATTTAAACCAGTCTAAATTGAGTCAGGGGTTCACTTAGAAACGCGTGCTGTGTTATGCATTCATGCTATCTGTTGATATCTACATTTAAGAGTGTCTTCCCAGCTATGCGCAGCACGGAACCGGGATGAAACCTTCCTAGCCAAGTGATAGAAAGCAGCAGACATTTTCTCTGTGGTTAGACTGTAAGCTCCTTCAGGGCAGGGATGACCTTTCTGGTTTCCTCTGACCCTTTTGTCCTGAAACAAGACTAGGGCAGCAGCAAGTCCTCAGTCGCTATCCACAGAATGAATGGATGTACTTTCTCGAGGAAGGAACCCGTCCGCCCTTGTCAGACTCAATGCCCAGCTAGCCAAGCCACAAGCACGTCTGTGCCTCTGCATTACCTGTGCCGCGTGCATTTGAACCAGTTCAGGATGTCCGTGCAGCTGGTGTAGTAAATTTGATCAAAGGGATGTGGATATGACTCTTGCACAGTCACTGAGTAGCTGGGGGAAAAAAAGGATAAATAAGGAATTAGTATTTCTCCTTTTTTACATTAAAGATGTACTATGCACGGGTGCTCCTCACTTAATGACCAAGATCCGTTCCTATAAACAAATGGATCAAAAAGTGAGAAGCTTAAAGGTGGGTGTCTTGTGGTGTGTCCTGACACCATAGGGTACATATTTTTCAGCAGATATCATGTAACACCATCCTAGAATAGTGTCACTCTACCCATACAGAAAGCACACATTAGATAAGCGCCAGAAAGTGACAAGACACACCACAGCACAGTAATGTAAATGTGGCGTGGTCATTTCTATGTATTCTGAATACTACGTGGGTGCACAATAAAATGCACATTTATAAATGAAATATGTAGTTTTGTGTGGTTGCAAACACTTCATGTAGTAAATACTAACTGTGGGAATAAAACAAAGACTAAGAAAGGAATTCCCGAGACTCATGCAAACTGTGAAAGGCGATTCTCCATGGGAACCAGCAGTTAGTGTAATGGCTATGTCGCTGGACTCCCACGTAGTCGACCGTGGTTCACATCCCGGACCCGGTGGCTTAAAACTCACGCCGGGTGCGTGTGCGCCCAAGATCCTCAGAGGAGAATGGAGGAGAAGGGATTGCAGTGTGACCATCCCCCCTGGGGGGTGATTTCTCGCTTTCTGTCTCTATGTCTCTCTCTGTCTGTCTGGCGAGCGCATGCACCCTATAGTGAAAACCTCTCAAAAATAAAAAAAAAAAAAAAAAAAGAGGATTCTCCTCAGTGGAGAACTGATCGGTAACCGGGTGGGTCGTTAAATGAGGAGTGGTTGTACTACAAACAACTGTAGGCTCAATTGTATCCTTCTGCAACTCCGTTCCGACTTTTTTCAGAGAATCCTCATGTTTCTATAGGTTTCTATTTGAACTACAATCCCAGAAGGACCAATATGAACAATACACTGATATTAAGGTGTAAAGACAAGGGCTCACAGTATAAACTTTAAAGAAAATTCTCTCTCACTCTTCACCATAAGCCCTACCATTCCCAATTTAAAATCATATCACTCTTGGCCAACAGGCTGAGGCTAAGCTGTCAACTCCCAAATGGCCGACTGCAGTTCAAGTCCCAGATCTGATGGCTTGCTTTATCACTTTCTCTCTGTCTGTCTCTCTTATTCTCTCCTCTCTCTCTGGTGAGCACATGTGCCTTATAGAAAAATTTGAATACAATAATAATTAAAATTAAACAATTTTTTTCAAAAAACATTATCACTTGATATTTTTCTGTATTTAGTATCTTTCCTCACTCCAGGGCTCCAGGGATAACAAAGACCTTTCATAAAAACTTTTGACTTTAAATCCATGCACAAATAATAAAGTTAATCAACAAAGAGGCATTTCAAGTATTCACAGAAGATTTGGAAAAATAAGAAAGATCTCTCTGGCTGGAACTTGGAATCATTCATGGTCGTGGGCCTGTCCTACTTCTCAAGCAGTGGAGAAATTCACAGTCACCCTCTCTTTATGGCAGAGAATATGTTCCGAAATCCGAGTGGATGCCTGAAACCAAAAATAGTAACTGAGAAACCAAACCCTGCATCTTTGCAGGGGCTTCAAAATTTCGTGAAAAACGCATGTTATGAAGAGAATATGCATGGGTTTCAAGTTTTTTGTGCCAAAATAACACCACATTTTAATTCCATTTTTTCATTTCAAGGCCCCTCATAGGTACTATTTTTTTTTAACTATACGTAATATATCCACGATGAAGTTTAATTTACAAATTAGGGGGCCAGCAGGTGACGTGGTGGTTAAAGGTGCTGGACTCCCACATGGCTGACCATGGTTTGAGTCTAGGACCTGGCAGCTTGCTTTCTCGCTTTCTCTCTCTCTTTCTCTCTCTGTGTCTCACTCTGGTCAAGTTAAAAACAACAATTATGATAAATAAGATAAAGGAAATAATTCTTTAAAAATATAAATTAGGTACAGTAATAGAGTAACAGTAATTAATAATAAAATAGGATAATTATAGCAACATGCTGTAATAAAAGTTATGCGAGTGTGGTCTCTCTCTCTCTCTGGAAAGGTTATGGAACTGTGTAGCTGTGAACTGAAACCACAGAAAGTGAAACCACAGGTAGGGGGAACTACTAAACAAAATGTCTAAATAAAAACTTCAAAGAAGTCCTTTTGTGTTAATTCCACATGTGCTTATCAGAGACAAAGGGAAAGGGAGAGGGAGAAAGCACCCCTCCAGTAGGGCATGGTCATGCTGCAATCCCTTTTCCACCATTTCCACATCCTGTCAAATTTTAGACACATATGCCTGGTGTTTTTCAAGCTGCCGGACACAAGACTTGAACCGCATGGTCAGCCATGTGGAATCCTACTCTCTTAACCACTAATCCATGGGGCAAAACCAAGAACTATAGTCTTTTTTTTTTTTTTTTCCTTTTTTTGGGGGGGTTTTTTTTTTTTGTTTGTTTTTTGGTTTTTTTTTTTGTTTTTTTTATAGGGCTCGCACGCTCGCCAGACAGACAGAAAGAGACAGAGAGACAGAAAGCAAGAAATCACCCCCCAGGGGGGATGGCCACACCGTAATCCCTTCTCCTCCATTCTCCTCTCGGGATCTTGGGCACGCACGCATACGCGCCCGGCGTGAATTTTAAGCCACTGGGTCTGGGACTCGAACCGCGGTCGACTATGTGGGAGTCCAGCGACATAGCCATTACGCTAATTGCTGGTCCCAGAACTATAGTTTTTAAAACCATTTCTAGACATATGGCTCAGATGATTAGCCTGAAGTAATCATACAGTTTACTGCTTCTTAAACAGTCTGTTTTCCAAAATATTTTCACTAAACTTGTTAGAATAAAAGCATGCACTCTTGTGGGCCCAAGAATGTGGGTGGGAAATAGCCATGAAATATTAAGAGTAGTCATTCAATATTTAATTCCATCCTTTTCACTTCAATACAGTCTAGTACATGTTCAAGAACTTAGTGTCTACCTACAAGAAAATCTAGAGAATCTTCATCTCCAAACAATTTATTCTATTTGCTCTGAGTATCTTAAAGGTTTCCGTTAAAATCTTAGCTCACACAAACAAAATGGGCCATAATCATTGACTCACTTGTTAACAAATCAATTGCCCGATTTCATTAATATGTACTATCAACCAGAGACAGTAAAGAACAAATGTGATTGAAATTTAAACACAACAAATTCAAGTGAGACACAGGCACATCCTTCTGGTTTGAAAATCTAGGTAATCCCCATTTCATCATGTTGGCCTCAAAACAGTGGGTCCTCTCTCTGCAGCTGATGTCTGGTAGTCATTATGTAGTTAGGTTTCGATAGGACACCCATGAAATAATGCTACCCACATTTTTGTGTATGTCATTTTTTGGACTATTACAATTTGACTTCTCAATAAATTTAAGATTCTCTATAAATGCTAGGCAGAAAACCCAGCTCTATTAAAAATGTCACTGCATTAGATAAAAGCAGGGTTTTCATTCTGATCTGACACTGTTCTCAGTGTCAGAAGTAAGGTAATATGCTGGGTACCCTTCAGAATATAACCTTACTTCCTTGGGTATTGATTGCATCAACTTAAAATGAAAGAGTCAGAAAAGGCCAGTGTTGTGGTTAAGGCACTGGACCCACACGTAGCTGACCATGGTTTGAATCCCAGATCTGGCGTCTTGAAAATCATGCAGGGCCTGTGTGTGTGTGTGTGTGTGTGTGTGTGTGTGTGTGTTTACGCATGTGCGTGCCCCAAAATGCCAGGAAAAGAATGGAGAGGAAGGGACTGCAGCATGGCCATCCCCTCTGGGGGTGATTTCCCATTTCCCTTCACTCTGTCTCTCTCACAGGGTGAGTGTGCATATTTTATGACGAAAACCTTAATAAAAAAGAGTCAGAGATTATATTACTGACTACCCCTTCCCATTGGGCGTTCTGAATTTCTCACACACAATTTGCTAATAAATGACTTTCTACTCTAACAGATACCACCTGTTGCTACCTGCAAAAACAAGTTCAGATGGGGTAGTGTGCAAAGGCCTATGTGCTGTGATATAGCCCCTGTTGAGCCAAGCAAGAGACCTCTGCTAAAATATTAAGGTTCTTGGAATGACATCTCACATTAAGCTATTAATATTTTCTTCAGCTTCCTAGCTGTGCTCTGAGGTTCTAAGATTTTCTTATCAGTAATTTTTTCTTCCTCCTCAGCTGCTTATAAATAATGAAATCTCGAGGACTTTGCCATTATTATCTCTGTTCCACATTGAGTGGAGGGCAAAGAGAATTCAAGTCCTCTGTCTATGAAACTGCTGTGTAGGTACAGTCCTTTGTCACCTACAAGCAAAACAGAGCTGCTTCCCAGATGGCTACAGGATGAAATGGAAACCACTCTTAACTGATGTTGAGTAGGTGACAAACCTTGTTCTATGTGGCTCTACAGTACTAATTTCACTGAACTAAATTCACTGGTTGGAACCAGAGCTGACAGAGAGTTCTCAAAAAAATCTCCAAGGCCACATTATGATGTGCAGATCTTCATGCCTTGGAGAGCAAAGTGATCATCAAAAAATGGACCCTAGTGGACCAGCAGATGGTGTAATGGTCACATCACTGGACTCCTACGCAGTTCAAGTCCCGGACCGGGTAGCTTAAACTCACACCAGCACAAGAGAGTGCATACCCAAGATCCCAAGAGGAGAATGGAGGAGAAGGGATGGTGGCTTGGACACCAACCTTTCTGTCTCTTTGTCTCTGTCTTTCCAACGAGTGCACGCACCCCATAGTAAACAAAAACAAACCAACAAAAAACTGGACCCTGGTCAATTCTCTTCGATGTGGATGAGGGAATTGATTCCATAGCTTCTAGAAACCTGGAAGATTCCTTAAATAAGAGGAAATGTTAAAGGACATGGATTTCCCCCTTCTTGCCACTGACTGCTTACCAACAGCATACATTTGCAGGATGTCTCTCTGGTTTTAGG